CACCTCGGAGCTAACAAGCTGGTCCCCAGAGACGCTCCTGCAGACGCATCCCCGCCACGGTGCCCCTGCGGATGCATCCCTGCCCAACTGCTTCTGCGAACGCATCCCCACCAAGGCTGCGGGCGTGCCCTTTCGCCGCGGAATTATCATCCATTGGTCCTGGGAGTTCTTGGTGCTGAGATGGCCAGGACCTCAGAACGAAGGGGGCCTGGAGACCCTCTTCCCTCCTTTTGTCCTTTGTACCATGGCTCCATCAGGCGCTGGTGTCTGCACAGAAGAGGGACCAAACGGCCATCCTTCGTTTCGAAGTTGCCAGTCACCACAAAGAGAGAGGAGGGCAAGAGGGCTTTGTCCATTAACAGATTTCGGAGATCCGGACGCACAGCGAAGGGGCTCGGTGGGTCTCCTGCACACGTCAGCAGGCACTTGATAGAGCTGGGCACACACGGCTGCCTCTTCTCACCTCGCTGGCCAACACCTCCGGGGAGACCTCAGAGGCTCTGTCTTTTCAGAGATAAAGTTCTCCTCTGCCCACGCCGGCCCCCTCCACTCAACCATGGTGCCTTCAGGGTCTGGTCAGGGTGGTATACACGGGCTGGTCCCAGTTACTGGGGGGGCTGTGGGCAGGTGGCACAGAGAGGCTGCTGAGCAGCGGTGAGGTATAGGGCCGGCGGGATGAGTGGAAGTAGGGATACTGGTAGAGGCTGGACGGGTAGCCAGCGTATGGGTTGTAGTAGTTGGGGGCCTGCAGGTCGGTGTAGTCACACTGTGAGCTGGTGAAGGAGTTGGCAGCTGCAGCCGAGGCGGCCGTGGTGACATTGGCCTGGGCGCTGTAGGAGCTGTAGTCGGTACGGCCTGGAGAGCTGTGGGACTGGTCGCCGTAGTGGCCAGGGCTCAGCTGCTCCGTCTTGATGTGGGGCCGAGGGGGACCTGCTTCGGTGGGTGATGCGGAGGCCGATGGGGCTCCCTTGTGGGCCCACACGGGGGATGCTCCAATGCCCGCGGACCCGGAGTGTGAGTAGGAGGCACCCCCGTAAGAGCCAGAGGTGGAAGGCTGGCCCGGCTCTGTGGGCAGGGCCGAGTGGCCGTTGAGGGGCAGGTACTGGTCAAACTCGTGGACGTCGAAGGTGTCCATGTTGCCAATGACCTCACTGCTCAGCTCTGAGATGTCCACGTTACTGAAGTCGATGTTCTGGCGCCCACTGTCCACCAGGCGGCGGCCTTCCAGCTTCAGCTCTTGCTTGCCCCCTTGGTGCAGGTCCGTCTTGGGGGTGGTAGGTGGGGTGGGTGGCCCATGGGTCTGCCCTAGGGTCAGAACACATTGCAGGGATGAATGCCCCTTCTGTGGGGTGGGGGGTGGGGCTGGCAGGGCCGGCAGGCTGGCGACATGCACACGGGAGGAAAACCAGCCCACTAACAGCCGCAGGTAGGAATCAACAGCTTTTTGTTCCTGTACATTTCCCAGAAATTCCAGCAAAACCAGACCCAGACCTCACTCCCTGCCTGAGAAAATTCCGTTAGGCACTGTTCTATGGAAAGACCTGGGGCCAAGGAGGCCCCACGGTGAACACCAGAGTGGAGAAAGAAGAGACAACCATGTTTAGGAAGCTCTCAAGGAGCGCCCAGCCCGTGCGCGTGATTGCAACACAATCCACACAAAACCTGTCCATGGCTTTAGCCAGCTTCGGGGCCAAGACAGCACCCCGGTCAGTGGGTTCCCGAAGCGGGGCTGCTGACCACCATGCTGGCAGCAGGAGTGGGTCCTGGGTCAGAACCAGCAAACAGGCCAAGGGAGGCAAAGATGCCTTCGGTTAGGACAGAAGCCCTATGCCACAGGGTGCCAACCAGGCAACTGTGAGACCCTCCAAGCTCAGAGGGGCTAAGCAGGGTACCCACTCACCCCCAGAGCACGTATGGGAAGCAGCTGCCACTGGGAGCTTTGAGGGGATACCCAGGGAAGGTTTGGCCCTCTTGTGGCTGCCTGCCCTGG